TTGTAAGGGGATATATAGGGATATATGGGGACTATATCAGGGTCCGAGGATCCAAATAATAGAGCTTTAGGGCCCAAATACCATAAGATTAATGGGGCGTTTGGGCCCTCAAACCCTATTATTTGGGTCCTTGGACCCTTTTGTAATGCCATTCCCAGCTAGAACCCTGAACCCCAAACCCTGTTTATAAACCCATGTAAAAGGCCGAAGACGCTGAGGATTCTGTTCTGCAAACCGCTTCATGAAGGACTTAGGCCAACTCCACATTATACCGAGGAAGGCCTTATTGGGGGGGAAGGCGGGGGCTGCCTTCCTCTGAGGCTTCAAAGAAGTTGCAGAAACCCTCAGCACCAAGACCATGGCTCTCAAACCCAACATCCTCTTTAGACCCTACATGACTGCCACATGATCCCTAGAAATCCTTAGATGACGCCTAGACGAGGTTCTCTTGTAGCATGCTGTGTCCGATAAAGGCTGGCCGCACTGCATGCGGAGCTGTCGCGAAAAACTGCGCAGCTTAGCAACTCGGCTTTTCTTTATTTATAGGGTTTGCTTGAGGCTTCAAGTCAAAAGCCTGGATGACTTAGAATCCACCTAAAAATCCCAGTGCCATATTGCATGCAACATTCCAAATGGGAGTTTCCAAGAAATAGAGGGACAGCTTCTACACACCAATAGATTGCAATCCTTACTTCGGGTATGCCAAATTGGGGTCCCTAAACCCTAAACCGCGAAATGTTGGAAACACCAAAATCCCCAGGGCTTAGTGATGTAGGGCATCCAAAGGCTTGGGGTGAGGCCGACATGGAAAAGATGTAGGGCTTCCCTACCCGAAGCCCTAAACTGGGTTGCCGTTGAGGAATCCTAGATCTAAGTTACTATATTGGGGAAACCATACCAATTACGGCTATGGTAACTTAAGCTAAGATCCTTACCCTAAACCCTAACCCAGTTAGTAAAGCCTAAACGCCCCCGAGGATGCATCCAGCCACTTGCTACGTGCTGGTGCTTAAGGACTTAAGGGGCTGTGGCCGAGTGGAATCCTGTAACAGCCCCCATGCAGTCCCCATATTCCTTTGAATGCTCCCATTATTGGGTTAAGGGTCTAGCCCATTACGCTTTGTGATCTTCACTCTTCCAGTCCCCGGTAGAGGCTATGTCAAATTCCTCTGTGGTCTGAGGCGTGGGCTTCCGGTTTGCAAGCGAAGAAGCCTTAAGCACAGCCTGGCAACCGGCCTTAGGGCCTCCAGGGGTAGGTTCGAATATATGTACATTCTATTGCCCTGAATCCCTCCGTAATCCCTGTAGAGCTATAAAGATAGGCCCACACCTACCCCAGAAACCATAAGCCCTACATATGCAATATACATATACATATATACACATATATCCCTATATATCCCTACATCTTCCCTTGAAGGGAGACGAGGGAGTTTCCAATGTCGGGACTATATATATATACACATATATGTATACACATATATATATATATATGCGTGTGTATGTGTATCTTTATGTATATGTATATGTATATGTATATGTACGTGTATGTGTATGTGTATGTATATGCGCATACGTATATATACATATAGGGTATGTAAGGGGTGTACGACAATGGGCGGTTACGTGATGGGTGTACGATGCTTATGCAAGATCCCTACATGGCAACCCTAAATCCTAAACCTTAAACCATAAACCCTAAACCCTAAATCCTAAACCTTCCTGTAGTTGCCTTAGTCCACGTGCTTGCCAAGGTAGTTTGGAGGCTTCCCTTGGCTTACCTGAAACTGGTGGCTCTCCGGGAGAAAAGCCCGAGATTTTGGGTTTAGGGTTTGGGGTGTTTAGGGTTAAGGGTTTCGGGTTTTCAGGGTCTAGGGGTTAAGGGTTTGGGGTTTTTTGGGTCTAGGGTTTGGGTATTTTGGGGTTCAGTGCTTGTGCCTTTATAGGGCATAGGGTCCTCATGGTCCACGATCCCAATACTTAGGTAATTAGTTCGGACGCTGGCTTCTGTACAGGTTTGAGGTACGTATATGAGAACAAGTCCCTTAGGGTTAACGGGGGTTCATAGGGATAATGTACTGTAGGGGCCATATAGTGACGATTTAGGAATTAGGGCTCGGGGCTCTTTGCGGGGGTGCTGGGGGTGGCAGTCGGCAGGGGTTTTTGTTTTTCTTGGGAGATATTAGGGAGCTAGTTGGAGGTTCTGGGGGTCCCTTTCAGGGCCCCTACAATAAGGATTCTTCTAGTATGGGGGATATACTGGTGCCCCTACTTCTGGAAACCCTCGGTTTCAAGGAGGCTTCATGCTTGCACAGCTGTTTTCTTACTGCACGCATAGCGCCCCAATGATGAGTAATATAGAAGCTTTTAAAGTACCCCATGTCATGGTCCTAGACTTCTCGTGGAACTAGACTATTGGGTGCCTCAAACAGGCTTCAAAATGGTATGGGAAAGAGCGGCCCCGTTGGAATAGAAGTATTCACTAAACCAAAAACCCTAATCCCTAAACCCCTAGTACCCTAAACCCTAAACCCTAAACCCTAAAAACTAAGTTGGAATAGAAGTATTCATCAGCCATGCCGCCGCGCCCATTCTCCAAGCTGACTTTGCAGCGGCTAAGAGCTGTGGAAACATAGTACCACACGGTTTAGGGTTTAGGGTTTAGGGTTTAGGGCATCATGGCAATCATGAGACTTAAAGTCATTTAGCATGATCTCCGGGTTATCTGAGCGGGGGCCCCAAAAAATCTCCATCCGATTCCCGTGTATACGCTTAGCAAGGCTCCGCAGAATTGTGAGAAAACTTCAGGTCTGGCTAAACTTACTGGCTGTTGGTGGCGAACGGAGTGGATCCCTCTAGCAATCCTATATAACCCGCATCAATAACGTAGTATCCATGTTGTTTGCCATTCCTACATTCCCTACTAGCAGCCAGTAAGCCAAGTCTCATCAGTCCAACCTGCAGTAAGCCCTGTGGTTAACTTCTGGACTTTTTTGACTGGAGTTGCTGACGCTTAAGAAGTTAGCCTCCGAAGCTACGAACATTGGACATATCTTACTCAAGTAAACTCCACCTCAAAGATGCCTCGTAACCTTATCCCATTTAGGGCCCTGACTCCACAAGTCCTTCCTTCATCCTGGGATGTGGCCCTAGCTCGGCTACGTGGATCGCCTGGGATGCGAAGCTCGGCTGGCACTGTCAAGACGGTAGGGTGGATGGAAGAAATCCTGCACCACCTTCAGTACCCTATGTCCTGGGAATTACAGTAGTTCAGTCGCCCCAGGTGGTGCAAGATTCCCTGCATCGACAGTACTTCTGCTTGTTCCGGTTTATGGTTTGGGTGCTGCGGGAATACTAGGGGTGGACAGGATTTATTGCTGTGGGTCCATACAAGCCTTGATATATTTCCTCGTAAGTGATACTGACTGTAGCTTTCAGGAACCAATGCCGAGGCTGTAGAAAGAAGAGCAATCTTGGACACATTTACGGTACCAAGAAACTTCATGGGAACCCCCAAGCAGAGAACCCCAGACTATAGTGGGAATATAACAGGAATAGATGGACTCTGGCAGGTATGTTCCCATTATATCCCTAGTCCTACTATATTCTTGAGGTTCCTTTTTTGGGTCCCTAAACCCTAAACCCTTAAACCCTAACCCCTAAACCCTAAACCCTTAAACCCTAAACCCTTAAACCCTAAACCCCTAAACCCTTGGGGTTCCTCATGCCAGAGCCCATGGCGAGAAAAGCCGTGAACTTCGTTGCGGTAGCAACACAACCTAAGGGTCCAAGGACTCAAATAACAGGGCTTAAAAAGGGGTTGTAAGGGGATATATGGGGACTATATCAGGGTCCAAGGACTCAAATAATAGGGTTTTAAGGCCCAAATACCATTAATATTATGGTATTTGGGCCCTAAAACCCTATTATTTGGGTACTTTGGACCCTTAGGGACAAGCATGCTGTCAGGTCCAGAAGGCCAGCTTTTCTACCCTCTTGAAGGGACCTAGGACCTCGGGTTTAGGGTTTAGGGTTTCCATTTCATTTTCTTTTTCTTTTCCAGTTGATTCTCCATTATAGGGGGATAATATCCTAAAAATTCTTATGGCTTTTCTCCTAAGCCCTAAACCCTAAACAGGCTTTCCTCCGACCATGAAACCCATGTAAGCCCGTGCAATTTGGGGTTATATCGGGAAAATGGAAACTAGAATGGAAACTACTAGAATACTAGTGTTGTATTGAGATAATGGAGCAGAGTCGGAGGATTGTTTGTAACCATACTCTTGATGGCTTATTCTGGTCAGAGGTAGGTTTGCACCACCTCCCCAAGAATTAAGAATTGCTGCACCCAAGAAATTGCAGTATGCGGGTGTCCAGCTCAATTATTCTCGGGTGATCATTTAGTTGTTGCCTTTTTGGTTGCTGCTGTCCGTTGAAGGGACACCAGACTGTTCAGTTGCTCGGTACCTTCTGAGAGGAGCATACAATTTCAAAATTCCACCGTCCAGTGTAGGAAGCGACCGTTGTAGTCACCCCTTCCTAATCAAAAACCTCCCCCCCCTCCCACTCCCTAATAAACATATACCAACGAATTATGATGGTATCATATTGTGAGTATCCATCATCATCGGGGTGCGAAGGCAGTGGTTAGGGCCGTGGCTTTAGCTTGGCCATTCACGCACCTTTAAGTCCACTTATTGTACCGTCTGGGAAACCATCTGCAGATTCATGAGAAATGCCCTAAACCCTAAACCCTCAATCCTAAACCCTGAATCCTAAACCCCAAACCATGTGACTGGAGAGAAATGCGCGTCCTTTTTTGTGGCCCACCAGAACAATGACCGTTAATGCCATGAGGCATATACGGGACCCTGATTTTTGAGATGCAAAGCATCAGTCTTGAGGAGGTTTCGAGTGTTTTTTGTACATGTCGGGTCTCTTCATTGATGAAGTCCCCCTAAACCCTAAACCCTAAACCCTATGATGAAGTCCCCCTAATGTCCGCTGGGTTTTCCTCTCGGTGTCCTTACCTTGCTGTCAGACATACTAGGGGGTTCATGGGACTTAGTAACTACTTAGAGCTGGGGTGAAAACCCTATAGGGTTTAGGGTTTAGGGTTTAGGGTTTGGTAACCCCTATAAGGCCATTTAGGGGGGGTTATAAGTAGGGTTATAAGCCCAGTTATCAGTAGTTACTATTTCCCATGAACCTCCAAGTATCCAAATGTGCCAATTTCAATTCCTACAGCTTGAATGCCCTAAGCCCCATCTTCATGCTCATAGCCTTTGCCAAGGAAACTCCTTTTCGCCAAGTTGGGCCGCGGGGCCAACCCCACTGGGCCCGCAGAGGCTTCAGCTGTGGGCGATTCTTTGAGATTTTTGGTGTTACTTATGCGGATGGTTACTGGGAGTTGTAGGGATAGGCACTGTTGAGTCCTGCTGTCCTGTTTGGTCTTCATGACACAGCGCTCTCGGAGGACTACTAATGGCACATGCAGGTTGAATGGGGCTGCATAGCAAG